CACCAGCACCACCACCAGCAGCAGCAGCAGCAGCAGCAGCAGCAGCAGCACCAGCACCACCAGCACCACCACGTGATGCCGACCGTGATGCCGACGCCGACGACCTCGCCCTCGCCGGCGACAGTGACGGCCATGGCGGCAGCGACCGCGGCAGCTACGGCGACGGCGACGGCGACGACGACCCACGACGACCACCACGAAGACCACGATGACCACGACGACGACCACGATGATGACCGCGATGACGACCCCGTCGACGACTGTGACGACGACAACGACAACGACCACGACGACCCCGTCGACGACCACGACGAGGACCATGACGACGACCACCATGCCCACGATGACCACGACAACGAGAACGACAACCACCACGACGACCACGACGACGACCCAGACGATCAGACCACATCGACCGCCAGGACGACCACCACAACGACCACCACAACTACCACAGCAACGACCACCAAGACAACGACAACCATGACAACCGGCCACCACAACGACCACCCGGACGACAACTCCGACGACCACGAGGAGACCACGACCGACGACCACGAAGATGACCACAATGATGACGACGACGACCACCATAACGACCAACACGACGACGAAAACCACCACCACCACGAATACCACCATGAATACTCATGAATGCCACCTCGAATAGATCACCACGAATACGACCACGAATACGACCGCGAATACGACCACCGCGACGACGACCACGACGACCACGATGACCACGACGACATCTACAATGACGACCGCCGTGACGACCACCACGACGACCACCACGACGACCGCCCTGACGACCACCACTATGAATAATACAACGAATACCGCCACGAATACCACCACGAGGACCACCACGACTACCACCACGATGACCGCGACCGCGACTACTGCTGCTGCTACTACTACTACTACTACTACTACTAATGCTGCTGCTACTACTGACACTGCTACTGCTCCTTCTTTGTACGGCCGTTTCGGGCGATGTTGATTCACAATTGGATCCCTAAACCCCGTCCACAGGAGGATGCCATCTCCACCGTGGCGGCAGCGGCAAAACTCCTCGGCCAGCAGCCGACATTGGTGAGGCAAGGGGCAGATAGGGAGATTTGCTGGGAGGAGCAGTGGGGAATCTGACCACGTGGATGACTCGTGCTGTTGTAAGAGTTGGAGCTATTTCGTGCTGCGGCACAAGAAGGTTCGTTCATAGGGTTTTGCGGGGAGCATGCGTACTTCGGATAAAGAGATGTCTAGTGGTAGCGAGAGTCTTTCCTAGCTGCATGCGTCACAAACATCAAGTCCCCACTGCAAGCTGACTGATTTCATAAGCTTAAACAGGGGGATGTTTGGCAAGCCAGGGTCAGTGGAGCCAACTTCTGTGTTCAGGTTGCAGCTGCCGGCTGGAGCTACAGTGTGCTTGGGATTCACATGCCGGGTGTGTTGCGGATGCTGCTGGGTGCAGCAGCGCTTGAATTTGGTGCAACCCCAGCCGCTGTTTGACGCTGTCTTCCAGACCTTTACAGGCTTGAGGTTTCACGACTTTGAATGCCCAGCAGCGTGGATGTGGGACTGCTAGTTAAGACGTGTTGAACGCCAACGCTTCCGGCCTCAACGAGGCATTTGTGGTCATCTGAGGCATGTGGTTGGAGATGTTCATGGTCAGTTCTGGGACTTGCTTCATATCTTGGAGTTCTGTGGCGTGCCTTGTCAGATATACCGTCAAAGACTCAAGCCCAATCAAGTAGGATAATCCTTTGTCTCAGACATGTACATCCTAGCCCAGGAGCCTTCCCTGCAGAACCAGTATCTTTTCAATGGCGATTTTGAGCCTTGGCTCAGATGGGCGTTACTTGCAACAGTGACCCGTTGAAGTATTTTCTGCAGTCAGTGCTTGACCTGGAGCCATGCCTGAGGTGGACCGCGGTCAATTTTCTGTAGAGGTGGCCCTGTTGCTGCTCGCGATGAAGGCACACATCCGTGTTCTTGGAGCAACGTTGCGACGACACGATTCTTGAAGCTAAGGTTGCGGCACCCAGGGCTGTGCACCTGAACCGAGGCAACCACGAGCCTTCCCGATATTAGATGTACGATGCAGGATGAAGAGAGATGGAAGCAAATAAAGGGCGTGGCGTAGGCCCTCGGCCTAGGCATGTGCGGCTTTTATGTTATGCGTGCAGCACGGCTGGTACTTGTGTGCCCTTGGTCATCCTTGGTCTTGCCTTGTTACAGAACCGAGGAAGCGGTCCGGATGAATGCACTGTACGGCTTCATGCTGCCCGTCAGATTGTAGGGGTACACCTGGTTGAGATCAAACGGCTACGTGTCCACTTGCAGCCCTCATCCACCCCACTTCCACCCCAGAAAGCAGGGACTAACAAACCGGAGTCGCTGGCAAGAAATGACACTTGCTGCACTCCTGAGGCAAGAAACTGAGCAGAAGTACAGCAACGAGCCTTGGTGCTAATAGGGTGTTCAAGATGATGTGCTACTGTGCTGGAGATCAGTAAGACCTTCAGCTGAGCACTTGCTGGAGGGTTCTGCGTAACTAACCCTCATCGCACGAATCCAAATGTAATAAAGCTACAGCTCCCACTCTGGATGTGAATTTCCCGAACCCGACATCCAGAGCCAGCAGAGCTTTTCACCGGAGGAGCTGTTCCGGCAGTTTGCAGAGGCTTTTCGAAACTTACCTCTGGCAACTTTGGTGCCTCGTGCAGCGATAGCTCCAGGGCACGTGTATAGTTGCAGCTTTCAGGCTAAGTAATTGGATCTTTCAGCAACAGCGGGGCAAGAACTAGGGCCTTATGGACTTCTGATGCTGAAACGGGCCGCAGGGCGCTGCAAGGTTCTGCTTTGCCATCTGCGTTTGATATTGACAAGTCTATTGGTCTGTAGTGTAGGATTGATAAAAAGCTTGTGCGCATCCTTTCTGAGGTCAATGATTCCGTTTTCGTTGTCCATGGCGGCCTGAGTTCGAAGGCCGCTGATGTTCTGGCGCTGGTCCCTTGTTCATGTTGAAGCTGCCACGCTCCTGCCATGCTTATCTGCCATGGTCGACTCCAGAGCTTTCTGGTCAAGAAGATTTGCAAGTTTCAGTCTTGTGCCACTCGAGTTTGTATGGTCCTTTTGTTGTCAGCAAGAGCTTGGTTTGACAATTATTCAGTACTCTTGTGCAGAAGCAGCCAGCACTATCCATGGCCGCGCCTCCTCCTGCACCGCCAGCACCACCAGCCCCTCCGCCGCTTGCAAGGCCAAAGCGTCCTGCACCGAGCGGACCAACCGACGCAGCCGTTCGCCTGCAGCGCTGGTTCCGCGCGCAGGCACGCAGGAGGTCCTTCATGGTCATTGTTAACAGAGCACGCCGACGGCGAAGGTTTTTAGATGAGCGACGGCGAGTGGCTCAACGCGTCTACTCGGCAGAGGCGGCCATCGAGGAAATGAGAGCCCGGCTTGCGATGCCCTCGGGGCACAGGCTGGTGAGCCGCTGGAAGGAAGCCAGAGAAGCCGAGGCTGCCACGCAAGTACAAAGCCGCTGGCGGGCACTGAGGGCAAAGAAAAAGCTTGTGAAGCTTGTTGGTGAGCAAAGACAGCAAGAGGCGATCCGCAAGATACAGAACTTTCTTCGGCGGCGCCGACAGCGGCAGCAGCAGTCTCCGCTCGTGCGGTCGGCTGTGGAGAACCCTTTCTGGAGGCCAATTCAAGAAGATCGTGTCAGGGCACTGGAGACTTGCATCGTGGAGAAGCGTAAACAGTGGAGCTCTCTTACAGGGCGAGGCCTTACGATGGAACAGCTCAAAATGCAGGCTGATGCTGAATACGAGCAGTTCCTGCAGGGTGCTGGCCGGTGGCGCTATGATGTTTGGCGGGCCCTTCTGGAACGTGCTCAGGCACGACGGATGATAGAGGCGCTGGAAGGCAAAAACTTTGCTAACCCACCGCCGTATGGAGTTTGTAGTGCGTACCTGCTCAAAGAAGCCGAAGAGAAACATCGTGGTCGCAAACAGAGCGTGCTCCATGCTCGATCCTTCAGAGATCAAGTGGACCCAGGTCCGTCAGTGTATGTTGAGTCCCAAAGAGAAGAGCAGGAAGCCAATGACTTGCTCCATGCTCTCGAGAGCAGCCTTGGCTACAACTTCTCACTGCCAGAGGTTTGAGACAGCTCCCCATTGTGCGAGAAGCTCAGCCGAGCTGAGCAGCAGCAGCGAGCCCACAATGCGCTGCACAAATTCAATCCTGCATCAGCAACGTTGCAGACGACTGCCACAGCACAGACTTCTCAAGCAAACTAAAAAAAGTCATCAGAGTTCAGAGCCCCTTCCTACCTGGCCCTGATGCAGGTGCTAAGCTGAACGACTCGGCTGCTTTATGTTTTTGGTAGCAGACATGTTGTCAACCTGCATTGCACGACAGCTCCAATGAAATCTGTGAGATGCTACAGAACCTTCTTGGCCTGCACCCCAAAACCGGGCACATAGCTTTCAAACAGCAGGGATTACTGGAACCTCGACTAATGTAGCAAGTTCTTTCAACAGCACTGCGCGAATTCACTTGATGCTGCTCCCTTTGAAGGATTTCTAGTCAGGCGTAGATGCTGCAATCAGGCGCAGTCCTGAACTGGTTTGGATGAAATCCTTGGAGCTCTGCAGGATGGCGTCCGTTTGTCTGAGATTGCGCATCTGGATCGCAAGCGCGAGCCCGATGAGATTGCTGACCAGCTGATGCTGGCCGCTGGGAAATGAAACCGTATGTCCCAGAATGATAAACGCAGCTTCAACTTCAGATATTTCAGACACTTCAGAGTCGCGCCTAATTCAAGGACCTCCTTTGGTCGGATCCGATGGAGCGAGATGGCTATGCCCAGTCGCCTCGGGGAGCTTTGCCAGGATTCATTCTAGAGATGTGCATCTCGTTCAGACTCCTCTCGTTCAGACTCCTCTGCTCTCACAGGGTTTGCTCGTGGCACTGACATTTTATGCGTGCTGCAGAATCCTTCGTCCTGGCCTTGTGGCCATGAGAGCAGCTAAGCGATAAGCAAGGCGGCGGCATCCTCTTCGGACCTGATGTCACTCAACGCGGCTTGGACTTGCACTTCTTGGAAGGAGCTTTCAGGCCAGGTGGAAAATTAAGAGTTGTTGAACTTCGCAGTGGATGCTGCCTAGGCTTTTGCGAGCAGAACGGCCTCTCGTGCGTCATCCGATCGCATGAGATGAAGTCGGAGGCGTTTACATCATCTTCCATCATGCTTCATATTGTACTCCATTGTACTCCCATTGAAGCCTTCAATTTCAATGGGGCTTCTGTTGTCGAGCAACACGAGGCGCAGCCTGGAACAGACTTGAGATTGTGACCCAGAACCCCATCCCTTTGTCTCAGGGCTACGAGTGGCAGCGGCTGGGCCGCTGCCTCACCGTCTTCTCCGCTCCGAACCACGGCAGATATAAATGCCATGCTCCTCTGGGCAATCCGCTTTTGCACAGTTTGTTTTGCCGATTGTTGTTGTCACGTTGGTTGGCTCGCTTCTTTACTTCTCACAGTCGCTGTCCGCTGCCGACAATTGCCCCTGTTCACCCTCACCATTTCTCCATCCTCATCATCACACCACCATCGCAATCATAACCATCATCACTATCCTCATTGTCATAATTTTTGCAGTGCTGAAGCTGTGGCAGCTCTTAAAAACGTCAGTAGCAGGGCTAGGGCTGGGGCACGATGTTGCAGCTCTTGCAGGAACTACTGCGACATGTGTGGCAATCTTGGGGCGGTCTGCGACATCCAGGTGAGCACTTCGTGAGAGCTGCACAACTCCCGAGACAGTCTCCAGTCTCCCTCATGCGGCACGTGGCCTTACAAGCCTGGAAGGCAAAGCCTGGACAGAAGCGCATCTCGGTGCTTGGCCCAGATGTCCGGGGTGTGTCAAATTGGCTGTTGATACTTTTGCACGAGCATTGCAATCAAATTCTCTGCTCTTCTCGCTGCCTTATGGCCTCTCAGCGGAAGGATCTGTTTCTGAGTTTGAGAGTGCGACCGAGGTGAACGATCTCAATGTCCGCACCTTCGAGTGTTCACCGCACCCGGAGCACCATCTTTTGTGGTTGTGTTCCAGTTTTGAGAAAGCATTCCTCAGAAAAACACAACCTGAGCCTTTGACACGTGGCCAGGAGGAGCCGCACATGGCCAACCTGATGTTTCGACCGTTCTGCTGACAGGCTGCTGGGGGCTGAAGGGTTCGCCCTGTGTCAGAGTTTGGCAGAGTGGAGACCTGGAAGCTATGTGGTTTGCCGATGGCGCATGATTGCAGTTGGGCGCTTGAAATTTTTTGCGGCACGGTGGGGCTCAAGCTATCTATTAAGTATTCTATAGAGAACTGGGCAGTCTAAAATGACAGTTGCAGCATATGCCTTCAGCAATGCATTTCATTCATAATGAACGCAAGTTGGTTTCACAATTGATATGAACTGACATAACCCAAGCCCCCGCCATGTCATAGAGGAGTATATGCCGGGGAGCATTATTGGGACACCCACTGATCTGGCTGTCACCCCGGTGCCGCCTTCAAAAAACAATACAAACATTGATGTATAAGTGCGCAGAACTTAGTTGAAGATGTTCTGTGGCTCTTGCACCAGCATCCAAGCTTGTTTACCTTACATAATCTTTACATTGCTTTTGTTTCTGGAATGAATGACTAAAAGTCTATTTTAGGGCTGCTCCCAAGGGCTGGCAACACAGGCAGCATGACGCCCCGCTCCCCCAATGCCTTGGCCACTCGGCTTCGCACGCGCATCCCCAAGAGCTTAGCTCATCCTTCGGCGCCTATTTGCGTCGCATCTACAACGCCTCCAATGCCACCCCCAAATTGGGTGAAAAACACATCAGCTCTGTCAGAAGCCTGCAAAGAGTAAAAGCCTTTGACGCAATCCACAACAGGCGAGAGAGAGAAGCACGCGCGACGCGCGCCCCACCCCCTCAAAACGCTTCCGTCACTCCGCTCACTTGCGGTCCCATTTCGAAGCCAGCCTTGCTCCCATTTGCATTGCATTGCATTGCATTGCATTGCACTGCACTGCACTGCATTCATCCACCACAAAACCACCCCTGGACTGGCATAAAGACAGCAAACCTTTTGACATCAAATCTGCATGACAAGTTGCAGAAAGCCACTGAAAACCGGCAAACCCACCAAGCTTTCCAGGCACAGACCTATGCAATAATGCAAGAAGTCATCAGAAAACGCACGCGCTCAAAAAGAGAATTGCGTCCGTGAAGCCGACCCGGACTGCCTGAGCTCCATACTGCAGCCTGATGCCATCAAATTAGTGAAGCGGAGCCCCAACGATGCTGATGATGCTGGCCAAGGGGGGGCCAATATTATCAGCATCGTTTCGCCACTGTGAAGCCTTCCATCAACCCCTCCAACCTACTGTTTAGGTAGCATTAACAAAAGGGGGGACAATAGCGTTTACAATAGCGTGTTGCTGTCGGCCCGGGAAAATCCCGGACAATCAAATTTGCTTTCTAACAAGTTCGGAGCCCGGAACATATAAACAAGTCCAAATCGCAAGAATAGAGGAGTGGCAATAATTTTATTGTCCGGCCAGAAACGTCCCGATTTTCAATAGATGCCCTTCTACTTGTCCTACTAGTATTCCGAGCTGCACTACCTGGTCCTACCCACGTCCCCGTCATTTACTATTGCGACCCCCCCCTTCCGTAAGCCCAAATCGCAAAACAAGTTCTGGGGGGGGATTCTTTATTGTCACCTAGACATTACAAAAATTGGTGCCCGGGCCCCCTGTTGGACCTCCAGGCGAATTTTCAAAAAAGTCCGTGCTCATGAAGCTGATTTAGCGGGTCTGGGAGCGTCCGTAGGAGAAACGGAGGTCCGATGACGCAGGTCGGCGGCACTTGCGTTGCGCAACGCCTAGCTTTATTGGGGTAACGTCCACGCCACCCCTCGCCCCTTGGGAGCTCTGGAACGATATATCAATCATTTTCTCATATCTAGACGAGCGGATGCCAGAGGCAATCTCCATTTTTTCTCTGAAACTTTCTTTTTGATTGAATTCTTCTGCTTGTTATCTTTGTCGATTCTATCTAGAGCTATTAAATATCAGGATATTCTTCAATGCAGGGCGGAGGCGAAAGATGAGATCCTAGATTTAGGAATATCTCTAGGATAGAGTTTATTGAATTTCATTCCCAATTATTGTCGATGTCGCTGCTCCTTACCTCTCTGGGATCGTGTCTTTGGGGGTCATGGGGTTGCTAGCCCTGGCTTCGCCAAGAGCCGGACGCCAGCGCCGCCGACCTGCATCATTGAAGCTCTGTTTCTGCAAGGGCCCTCCCAGACCCCACCCCCAAACCAGGCTCAAATTCACGTGCGTTCCGGAAGCAAATCCACATGGCACGGAGGGATTTTAAAGTGATTCTTGGGGCTCTGCAGGACCCCCAGATGAGCACGGAACGTTTTGAAAAGTAAACCCAAGGCCCATCTGTGCCGCGGAACCAATTTTTGTGCGTTGGAGGGGGTGCTGCCTGCGTTCCTGTATGAAATAACAGGGTGGTTCAACGCACGTGCATAAGCCGTGGCCCCAGCTTTCTCTATGAAACGGTTAGGCGTAACGTTGTACCCCGGAAGAAGCATGTCGTAGAAGCCCTATGGAAATGAGGGGGGTAAGCGGCTACGGGCTGAAACTAATTCTGCCTGCATCATTTAAATTCATTTAGCAGAGTTTTTTTTGAAAAGGGAGAGAGCGCTTTCATCTAGAATATTTGAGGGGGTATTAACTGTCCAAATCTTTCATGTTTGAAGCTCATGTTACAGCTGCTGTGCTTGCAAGACCAAGCGCATTTTGCCTGGGCGATCCTGTGCAGGCCTCGTCTGGCGAACCAAGTGCAGTGGTCCTGCATAAGTGACGCCAGAACGTTGGCAGATGTATCACCCGAGACAGGGAAGCATATTCATGCTGAGGTTCCAAAGGTGATAGCAGGGACAGAGCCTCATCAGGACTAGTGTTGCCTGAAACACCACGGCATGTTCCCACGTATTTTTCCGATCGCTCTGAAACGCCTGTTTGGAAACTTGTTTGACGGTTGTTGGTCCTGCACGTGTGGACCATGAGCAGCTTGAAGCCAGCTTTGCATTTGTCCTATGGCTGATTCCTGCCGCGGCACCATGTTAGCCTTCCCATTTTTCGTAGTGAGATGCAAGCCTTGGATAAATGGGCTCCGACCCCAAAGCATTCAAAACAAGAGCATTGGCCTCCTGGTCTCGCAGAATTCAGATCCACGCAACCTCGGCGGTCGGTGAACGGGGGCAGAGCTGCAGATTGGGCCATGCAGTTAGAGGCACCGTTCAGCGCTTTCTTCGGCTCAGGGTGAGTATCATGCCATGGGTAGAGAACGTGTTTGGTGTCTAGGTTAAGTTCACCGCCCTGCTGAAGTTATTCGCAAGGCTTGCACAAGAAGGTGCTTCCAAATACTGATGCTTCTTTCAGCTCGGTGGTCAGTTGTTCTGCAACAGAATTCCGCTAACACGGCCGCCCGTAGAATGTGTGGCAGCAAAAACTTCAGGAACCACCATGCACCATCTTATTGCCGGTTTTGGTGATTTTGCATGAAGAAGCACCAGCGGTGCCTGACTTTGGGGTAAGGCCTCCTGTCAGTTTGTTTAGCCTCTGCGTATGAGCGGTTTGGGGCGACACACCCCGGTTTTGACTCGCTGTGCGCAGACGAGCTCTGTGGTGCTGTCGTGAGGCTGAAACACCAATAACAACTACTTGATTGCTGTAGGGCAAAGGTCCCCAAAAGACTGGTGGTCAGTACTTCAAGTGCATCACACATATTTCTACACGAGACAACAGGCAATTGCGAAGACATCTTTTCAACTCAAAGTGACGATCCTTTTTTTTCTCACCCGGTCGCTTGGGTGTTCACTCTTCCAGGTATCATCCTCCCAAGACCAAGATCCCTACCACCTTGGCCCGAAGCTTCGCAACCTAACGTGCCAGCTTATGTCATGTTGCAGCCGACGGCAAGCAACCTGTGTTTGGTGATGGATCCTGGCAGCAGCTTCCGGCTTTACCCTTCGCAGCAGCGCTTTAGGTCATGAAAGTCGCCCCAACTTGTTAGGGTTTTTGGTCACCTTGAGGCCTGAATTCACACATGATTTGTCGTAGGCTTTTTGATATTTTTGCCGGGCTAAGGGTGTTTTGGGAATATTGGTGAGCGTATGTACTGGGCGTCCAATTGGGCACTGCGAAGACCTTAAACACAAAACAGGGTTCATGTGTGCGCTGGGCTGTGCAAGTCAGACACTTGCTGCTGCCAGGCATCTCTCCCGCGTTTTTCCTAGGTCCTAGGTCCCATCACTGGTCGCAGGGTCCACCAACAAGGGTCACACAGCCCCAGAACCGCAACACCCAAACCAGCATCCTGTGTGGAATTCTCAGAGACTCTGTGACGGTGAAGTCCGCCCGCAAAGATGGGCTCTTTTGGCTCTCTTCAGGGTCTGCCAGGCAGCTGACCGCCTTCCAGATGAGCATCAGCATCAACTGGTGCTACTGAGCTAGTGTGGGCTCGTGTGGAGACTGTAACCTTAGCCAGAAGCTGAGGCCTGGCTTAGACAATCCGCTGTAACAGGAATTCAGGAGGCAGCAAAAGGTGTTGAACAAAATTACTAGTGGGCTTGGGGCAACATTCAGCATTTGCACAGCGTATCCGGAAGCACGGCACCTTTCCCGCGCGGCCCAGCGCTCATATGCACCGCAGTCCGGAAGATCCTTTGCGAACGAGTGCAGCATTAACTGCATGCCGCCATTTTCGTGCTCAGGCTCCGAGGAACCGCGGTGTAAAAAGATAGCAAGCGGAATCATTCGTTGTAGTGACATTGGTATTTTTTTGTGAGTGGTTCCCATTATTTGTGAACAGATTGAACTTGGATTAGTAAGCAGGTTTTGGCTCTGCTCCACCAGACATTCCTCTGAAGTGAAGTACTGAACCTGTGTATGTGTTTAGGCCGAGTGATGAGATTTCTACATGCTTTTCATGTTCCAGAGCTCGAATTGCCAAGGCCGCAGAGCTGGTTCTGAGAGAACATGCGGCTACCAAGGGTCGGCAGTTGGATGCACCTCGCCCCTACACCACTAGAGTACCCGCAAGGAAGCTGGAAGGTCACATTCGATTGAAAGGTAGTATTGTTTGC